GTTATATTTTAACTGTTGCTTGGGTTATCACTCACTATAGTGCAACACATTAAGGATTTACTAAACACGAGCTGCTGTGTTAACGACCAGGGAGTCTCAGCCTCATCCTAATTTCTAGCTAGTTACCAACCCCACTGTACACTTAAAGGAAATTGAAGGTTAGAGAAATCAGGACATTGTCCCATATTAAATGTCACAATGATTAAATGTTTTCATTTTCATTTGTATTCAGATCTTTTGGACTCCTTTATCTACCTGATACGTTTGGTTTATCTTTTCACAAATGGAAAATATCAGTCTAAAACATAAACTAAAAATCTAAAATCAACAAAATAGGTTAAAAGTAATGGGATTTTTAGGTAATTGTAATGAATAAAACTCTTGAGGTCCATTCTTTTTATCTGAATTTTGGAATCTTTGATATCTATATAGCAGTTTAAGGATATTTCTGCATTCACACCATTACCTACATTTCAACTTTCTTATTAAATACATTGAGTCTTGGCCTGGAACATGCTGAGGGAAATTGACCTTGAGACCATATAGAATCTATACCATTACTTGGATATTTACAGAAGTTTTTCTTAGTATATTTCATTATATGCTAAGTATTAATAAGTTATATGACATGATATACAATGGAATATCCACTGAGGAAGTATGCTTTTAGAAGTAGGACACATCACAAAAGAGGGGACTTCACAAAGTTCATGGGAAAATATCCATTATCTTTTCAATACCTTTTTCCATACACTTTTTAAAGCACCTTACGTTTCAGTTCCGCTGAGAACGAAGTACAAACTCTCAGCAGAGGGTGACACTGGAACAGACGGCTTCAAAAGCCTGGTGTGTGGTCAGGGTTTTATTCAAAAATTAAAAAGTAAGGAGGGTCGCCTCATGACTTTGTGTCTCATTGTTTAATGGTCTCAATAGAAGTTTTGGGACTCCTTTGATTGGAGTTAGAATTGCAACCATTTCTCTTGGCCACTGAATGGTTGTTGTGAGTCATTGCTATCACAGTCATTGGCTGCTTATGTGTTTAAACAAGTTGAATCCCACCAGCCATGTTGGTGGACATTTGTATTACCTCTGTGGCCTTCCCTAGTGTGCTCTTCCAAAAACTCTCGTTATGCAGTCATTCATTCAGGAAAGAAAATTACAGTGTGTCCGCACTAGAGGCTTACATGATTACTGACCTCTAGACACTGACAGTTTGGTAAATTTGTTTTGAAATTAGTCATTCAAATATTTGCTAGATAGCAGATAATTTAGCCTAGTGCTGTCCTTGTGTGTTTCTGTTTTGTTGTCATGGGGATTGAGAGATAGGGAATCTCTCATCTTTGAGCTAGTTTAGAAAATCTTCCACCAGGAAGTTTCTCTGACTCCTTTGGCCTGGCTCTTGGTCCTGTGTCAGAAGGTGTCTGAACCCTAAAGATAAGATATGGTTTATATATCTGGCACAGTTTAATTAAGGCATTTTTAGAAAAGTGAACGGATTTCAATGTTGTTGAGTGCCATTTAGTCAGGTCTAAATTGTGAAACAGTAGGACACACTGCCCCATCCTATGCTAAACTCACAACTGTTGTTAGGTTTCAGCCCATTGGTGCAGCAACTGTGTGAATCCATCTTGTTGAAGGTCTTCCTCGGTTTTGCTCACCCTCTGCTTTGCCAAGCATGAAGTGCATTTCCATGGATTGGTCTCATGAAATAATATGGACAAAGTACACAGGATAAAGTTTAGTCTGCCTCACTACTAAGGGGCACTCTATGCTTCTTCTAGCACATATGTTGTTTCTTGTAGCACTCCATGGTACCTGTACCATTCTTCACAAACACTGTAATTCAAAGGTATCTATTCTTATATTGCTTAAGACTAAAATAGCTCTGATCTAGATGTTAATAAAGTTTGCATGAATATTTAAAATACCAAAGGAATTTTACTTCGTTTTGACCACTGTTGGAAATTTTCTAAATGTTAACCTACTGAGGTACCCATTATTTATTTCCTCCCATATTTTAGAGCAGATACTAAAGAAGCTCTGTCTCTGGACATTTTATATTTGTTTCATTGTGTTGTTGTTGTTGTTTTTATTGCACTTGGCATTTTACTATTTCTCTCTTTTATCCCTTTATCTTTCCAGGTTTTGAGCCCTTTTAAGACATTTTGCCTGCAAAAACTCAGCTTGTGGCTCAAGCGTTGTCAGTGGATACTTGGGAATAACCAGCATAAGAATATGAACAAGAGAAACGTACTAATGAATTCAGATTTATAAAGCCAGCAGGAACGGTTATAAAACAGTTAACAGAGGTGGGTACAATGAGGATTGTAGGGGAAGGGTACTCATGGTTGGTGGAGTCCCTGTATTGCTACCAGGTGAAAGGTTGCCTGTTGGAATCCACCCTGTCTCACCGTAGGAGTTGGGTCTTAAATCAGTTTCCACATGTTCATAGCCATGAATGCCCTGTGGAGCGGCTCCACTCTCTGTTCTCTGCACATAAGAGAGGTTACCCACCCCAGAACAGGAAAAAGCATCACCGGAGAGACCTTTCGTAGTGTGCATTTTTCCCTCTAGGCAAGTCTCAAGGAGCTTGCTCTGAGTTAGTGCGCCCAGTGGTGTCACCTGGGAAGGTTTTCTATGGTCACAGTGAATTTTTTCATTAAAGCATTTTCGCTCAAACCTTGCTTTTATGATGATGGATTTAAGAGAACAGCGTGCAGCTGTGAAATTTTGTTTCCTGCTCAGGAAAAATGCCACAGAAACTGTTGTGATGCTGAACACAGTTTTCAAGGACAGCACTATGGGAAAAACTCAAGTATGCGAGTGGTTTTCTCATTTCAAATAAGGTGAAATGTCAGTTGATGACAAACCTCATTCTGGACTTTAGTCAACTTCCCAAGCAAACGAAAATGTCGATTTGAAGTTCATTCCACCAGGTCAGACTGTTAATTAAACGTTCTATTTAGAGGTTCTGCAAAGCTTGCATAACAGTATGTAACATCTGCTTTGTGGCAGATGGGGGACTGGTTTTGCTACCACGACAATGCACCTGCTCATGCAACCATCTCATTATGCCAGTTTTTGCCCCAAAACAGCATGCCTCTTGGTTCACACAGTTGACGCACCTGACCTTACTCTGTGCAACTGCTTTTTGTTTCTGTGAATGAATAGGGACATGAACAGACAATGATTTGATGATGTAAAAGAGGTGAAGAAAAAAAGGGAGGTGTTTTCAGCCATCCAAACAGATGGGTTTGAAAAGAATGGAGTAGCAGATTTGACAACTATATTAAGTGTAATGGAGAGTACTCTGAAGGTGAAAAAGTTTTTTTGTAAAAAAATGTAAATACATATCTTTGGGGGGTATTACATTTTTGGGGGGGGGCCTAACCCCTTATTTGTGCTCCCCAGGCATTGGAGTTGAGTCCAATGTTACAAACCACAGCAACATTTTGAGATGAACTTTGAATGTGGGATGTTCAGCATAGCTGCCAGTAAAGATTGGAAGGTAGCCAAAGACTTTGATTAACAAGAACAGAATTTTTTCTAAAAAGTAACAAAAAACTGATACCCCCTTTTAAAAAACCTTTTGGTGAAGGACCCTGGGCTGAGAAGTTCAGACATCGTATGAAACCAAATTTAAATTTAATAAATGAGAGTGATTTGATTTTAAAATAGAAATTAGAGTTCATTCTAAGGTGAGTGTTCAGATGGCTGTGTGGTAGACTAACAGACAAGGAACCTTGCCTGAAGCCCCCAAATGATGTCAGTTGAACATATTTTCATTTTTTGTCTTCATTGTTACCAATATGTGTTTGTATCGTGTGCTAAATTAATCCAGCACTGAATAATTCTTGTAGTAGAAGTTCGGGTCCAGGGAGAAAGATAATTAATAATTAGCTTCAGAATTTTGTTAGCATAAGAAATACGGCTGGTGATACTTTCAATAGTAATTACTAAGTAGAATTAAAATGGTGTAGTTAATAATCATTAAATGTGGAAGTTAAAAAATAACACATTTATAGTACTGATCTCTTTTGACTTAGCCAGCATTGGTATCTATTAAGAACCCCCAACTGTTCTTTAAGGCCTCATGTTAAATATTTAGTTGAACTCATCACTCACTCAAGGTTGTTCTCCTTTGCTTTTTAGGGAGGCTAGAGGATTCGCCATGGCGTCAGAGGTTGCCGCACAAACCTCACGAACTGTAGCATCACAGGTGCCGTTTGCAGACTTATGTTCAACGCTAGAACGGATCCAGAGAAGTAAAGGACGGGCGGAAAAGATCAGACATTTCAAGGAATTTTTAGATTCATGGAGAAAATTTCATGATGCCCTTCATAAGAATCAAAAGAATGTCACAGACTCTTTTTATCCAGCAATGAGACTCATTCTTCCTCAGCAAGAAAGAGAACGAATGGCCTATCGAATCAAAGAAACCATGCTCGCAAAGCTGTACATCGAGCTGCTTAATTTGCCAAGAGGTGGAAAAGAAGCACTCCAGCTTTTAAATTACAGAGCCCCGACAGGAGTGCGTGGCGATGCTGGAGACTTTGCAATGATCGCCTACTTTGTATTGAAGCCAAGATCTTTACCGAAAGGAAGTTTAACCATACAGCAGGTAAATGACATTTTAGACTCAGTTGCCAGCAATAATTCTGCACAAAAAAAGAACCTGGTAAAGAGTAGCCTTCTTCGGTTTATAACTCAGAGTTCAGCCCTTGAACAAAAATGGTTCATACGGATGATTCTAAAGGACCTGCACCTCGGTGTTAGTGAGAGCACTATATTTTCTGTTTTCCATCGCGATGCTGCTGAGTTGCATAATGTCACCACCGATCTGGAAAAAGTCTGCAGGCAACTGCATGATCCTTCTGTTGGACTCAGTGATATTTCTATCACTTTATTTTCTCCCTTCAAACCCATGCTAGCTGCTATTGCATATATTCAGCGCATTGAGAAGGACATGAAACACCAGAGTTTCTACATCGAAACCAAGTTGGATGGTGAGCGTATGCAAATGCACAAAGATGGGGACGAATACAAATTCTTCTCCCGCAATGGGTATAACTTTACCAAAGAGTTTGGTGACTCGTCACAAAATGGTTCTCTAACGCCATTCATTCATAGTGCTTTCAAAACAGATATACAAAACTGTATCCTCGATGGGGAGATGATGGCCTACAATCCCAACACTCAAAGCTTTATGCAAAAGGGGATGAAATTTGATATTAAAAGAATGGTAGAAGATTCTGATCTGCAAACTTGTTACTGTGCTTTTGATGTGTTGATGGTTAATAATAAAAAGCTAGGACACGAGATCCTGAAAAAGAGGTATGAAATTCTTAGTAGTATTTTGAGCCCAATACCAGGTAGAATAGAAATAGTGCAGAAAACAGAAGCTCATACTAAGAAAGAAGTCATTGATGCTTTGAATGAAGCAATAGATAAGAGAGAAGAGGGGATCATGATAAAATACCCCTTATCCATTTACAAGCCAGATAAAAGAGGTGAAGGTTGGTTAAAAATTAAGCCAGAGTATGTCAGTGATCTCATGGACCAACTAGACATCTTAATTGTTGGAGGCTATTGGGGTAAAGGGTCCCGGGGTGGAATGATGTCTCACTTTTTGTGTGCAGTAGCAGAGAAACCCCCTCCTGGCAAAAAACCATCTGCATTTCACACACTTTGTCGTGTGGGCTCAGGTTACACCATGAAAGAACTCTATGACTTGGGTTTGAAATTGGCCAAACACTGGAAGCCTTTTAACAAAAAAGCTCCACCATGTAGCATTTTGTGTGGAACCGAGAAGCCAGAAGTCTACATCGAACCTTGTAATTCTGTCATCGTGCAGATCAAGGCAGCCGAGATTGTCCCCAGTGACATGTATAAAACGGATTGTACCTTGCGTTTTCCACGCATTGAAAAGATACGCGAGGACAAGGAATGGCATGAATGCTTGACGCTGGATGACTTAGAGCAGCTTCGGGGGAAGGCATCTGGGAAGCTTGCATCCCGACACCTCTGTGTAGACGGGGATGAGGAGCCGCAGGGCAAAAAGCGGAAAGCTGCTGCCCCAAAGATTAAAAAAGCTATGAGGATTATCGAACACTGTAAAGCACCTAATCTTTCCAACATCAACAAAGTGTCTACTGTCTTTGAAGATATGGAGTTTTGTGTTATGAGTGGAACAGCCAGCCACTCGAAGACTGAGCTGGAAAATCGAATTGCAGAATTTGGTGGATATATAGTACAAAACCCAGGCCCAGACACAGCCTGCGTAATCGCAGGGGCTGAAAACATCAGAGTGAAAAACATCGTTTCTTCAGACAAACATGATGTCGTGAAACCTGAGTGGCTTCTGGAGTGCTTTAGGACTCAAAGCTGTGTTCCTTGGCAGCCTCATTTTATGATTCATATGTCCCCATCAACAAAGCAAGAGTTTGCTCTTGAATATGACTGCTATGGAGATAGTTATTTTGCTGATACGGATTTGAACCAACTAAAGGAAGTGTTCTCAATGATTAAGCACTCTAGTGAGCAGACCCCCAAAGAAATGGCTTCTGTGATTGCCGATTTAGAATGTCGATATTCCTGGGACAGCTCGCCCCTCAGTATGTTTCGACCCTACACGATTTATGTGGACCTGTATACTGTTATCAATGATCTCGGCACCAAAATCCAGGGAACAAGATTGGCGCTGATAGCCTTGGAGCTCCGATTCCATGGAGCCAAAGTAGTCTCTCGTTTAACTGAGGGGGTTTCTCATGTAATCGTTGGGGAGGATCGGAGTCATGTTGCAGATTTTAAAGCTTTTAGGAGAACTCTTAAGAGAAAATTTAAAATCCTACAAGAAGCTTGGGTGACTGACTCAATTGACAGGTCTGAATTACAGGAGGAAAATACATATTTGATTTAAAGCTGACTTTATAGGAAAAAAGCCCCTATTATTGATCAGACTGCAGAAGGTAGTAGCTATAAAATATTAAACCACAGGGTTTTTTTTTTTCTTCTAGTAGTGTGTGTGTATACAGCAGTATTAGATGCAGGAAAACAATTTTAAGTTTTGAGATTATAAAGATGGTAAAGGACAGGAAGGAAAAATCATTGTAGCAGTGTAACATTTGATGATTTTTTTTTAATGACCACAATGAAATAATAAAAATAGCTTTAAATAATATAGACATCTGAAACTTTGATTCAGATATTAATAAAAGATATTTTAAAACTTTTAGAATCTTTAAAAGTACCTCCTAAGGAGGATTTTCTGAAGTTAAATTAAAATTTTAATACTTTTTATCTAGTGAAAGCATTAAAGGAGGAAAAAAAGTGGAGTTGTTATTACAATCGAACTTTTAAATATATTTAATTTAACATGAAGGCCCAAGTTCCTCTTGTAAATGTTGTAAACACTTTCATGTTTTAAGGTTATGAATCCAGCACAGTAATGAACCCTTGGTAATGATGTCATTAGCTAGATGAAGGGAATTTGAGACTGCTCTGTACACTTAAAAGTGAATCCGTTTGATTGAAAAAGAAAAAACAATTTTAAAAGTACCTGAGTAATACCTAATATTTTTCTGAAGTAGAGCCTCTTTTTGTTTGTTTTTTAAAGCATTCTTTATGTGACTGTACTCCAGTATAAATAGTATTCTTGGTGTGTGTTTTTACTAGATAGAGCTAGTGGGTACCCATTAAAAGGCATTCAAGTTGTTTTTATTAGAGTAAAATAAATTGCTTTGATTATTAAAAATTAGTTCTTCCCTTAGGTCATGTTAAATCTTTGTATAACATATATGATGTTTGGATTTACATGGCAAATGGTAAAGACTGTAAAGTGCAAAAAATATTTTCATGACATTAATGGTATACTAACTGGGATTTGGTGCCTGAGGAACTGGTTATAGATTATTTGTAAGTAAGTAGATATTTTATCCAAATAAAGGAACAGTTGCATGTGATTTTATTGTATTTCTTAGTAAAATAAAATATTGCATGTACTATTAAGCCAATCCTCTATGATTCATTATTTTGAAACAACTCATAAGACAAATTAAGACCCTCACTGCCATCGAGTCAGTTTCAGTGTAGTGACTCTGTAGGAGACTGCAGAACTGTCCCTGTGGGTTTCAGGACCTATAACACTTTGTTTTACTACAACTTCCTATCAGGGTAAAACCTTTGTCTGTTACTGAGGAACAGCTGATGGCTTCAAACTGCTGACCTGGCAGTTAGTAGCCCAACTCGTAACCACTGCGTCACAAGGGCTCCTTTTAAAACAACTCATAGGTTGTTTAATTTCAGTCAGATAGGTGATTTTATATCAGTACACTTTTTGATTTGAATTAAAATCAGATTCCCTCTTAAAAGTGTATTACTTTGTTGAAAATTTTAAACGTGGACATTCTTACTAGCATGTCTGCTTGGTGCAGTTCACATGCTCAGCTGCTAACCAGAAGATAGAAGTACCGGTGCACCAAAAGACCCCTCAGCAGGCACCCCTGGCTGTCTGTTTCTGACAAATCTGAAGACCCTCTAGAGCACATTGCTGCTCTGACCCATGAGGTGGCTGTGAGTCTAACTGAACTCCATGGAAACTGGTCTTTCTCAACTGCCCTGACCCATAGCGACAGGGTAGAGCTGTCCTTGTGGGTTTCTGAGACTCTTAACTCTTTGTAGCCACAGAAAGCCTCATCTTTCTCCCATGGAAACTGGTACTGCTATATTATCTTTAGTGAGAAAAATGACAAAATAGAGTAGCGGGGGTAGTCTACTACAATGTTACCACCAAAATGATTAAATTTACTATTTTAGGTTACAAGTGATGAAGGTTTAAACTTCATATTTATAGTTGCAAGTCACTATTAAACTATGATGCATTTAAGTGCTTAATGAGTTGTGAGCATATTCACAGATTACAGGTCACTAACATATACCTACATCATTTAAAATGTTTCACAGTATTGTGTTGACTGCCCTGAAATGTGTTTAGCTAGCCCATTACTAATATGCTGGGGCAGTTCTACCGTGTCCCATTGAGTCATAATTGACTTTATGGCAGTGTTTTTGTTGTTGATGTTTTTCATCCTGACACCCTGCTTTTAAAAAAAAAATTGAGAATTGTGATATATCCATACTAGTCTTATTAGTTTTATAGGATAAATCCTTGGAAGTAAAATTGCAGGGATGTTATTTTTTTCAGTGACTTTTGATGTCTATTGAAAAGATCCTGGCCTCCCTTCCCCCCAAAATGCTCTAGATTTTTCTCATCTTTATCTCTAAATGCTAGTATGATCAGTACTAGACCAGTTTTCTAGTTGTATTTACTTCATATGTGTTCTCACTCTGTCCCACAGCTTTAAATATACTGACTATACCCAACTCTTCTAAATGCTGATTTCTTCACTGAACTCTAATCATAAACCTGCATGACCTCATGGGTTTCTTAAATTTACTGAAAAAACAATTGTTCAAATTTTTGTTATAGAAAAATATGTGAAAGAACGAATAGTTGATGAACCCTAATGTGCATATCACCCAGTTTCTACAGTGACCAATCTGGTTGATTATTGTGAGGAAAAACATCACATCATTTAATATGCAAATGTTATTTAAATAGAACCTTTGACTTCTCACACAGATCCTTTCAATGTTCTCACTAAATCTCCTCACATAGATTCAGGCTAAAAACCAGGGTGTTGTAACCGTGGTCTCCCTGACCCCATTGTCCTCATAACTTTGAATATACAGCAAATCTTGTTAGGGCTTCATACAAAATCAAAATATGACTTCTCAACACTTTCCCCAATAACCATAATGTAGCTCCCTAATGGCCACTGGGTTACTTCCTAGTCCCCTAACTAGTCTTCCTCACAACTTTACCCCACTAATTTCTGCACTGCAGACCAAATTTTATGCTTTTCACCGATGTAATTCAGATACTATTTCTTGAGTCAAAGCCACAAAATTAGCTGATTTCTAGGTGAGAGCTTACATAGAAAATGTTTTCTCTTTGGTAATTTTTATGCAACTTGTTCTGTGACATTGGTTATACTCTTTACCATGTGTCAGCATTCTCATTTCTATTCTATTTTTTCCATCGATCTAGCTTCCCTTCCCTGCCTCATCATCTCAGGTTAGCTGTTTACCGTTTGGGAACATAGCGTTAATTTTTTTTTCATAGAGTTAATTTTTAAGGGAGCTGTAATAGTCTAGGTACTTTGGAGAAAAAAATCCACAGCAACTCACGTATGAGAGAGAGTTTTATGCAAAGAAAATGTGCATCACGAAAACATCCCAACCCAATGCTGCCCAAGCCCACAAGTC